GCCCGTTTGAAAAAAGCGAAATTACTTTTGAAACGACCTAATATAAATAAACATACAACAGACACAGCTTGTCAAAGCTATCAATCATTTGCATCTGTTAATTCAAAAAACACCTTCATAGGCTTTAAACTTTATTGAAGGCATGTAGGTGTAAAAAGGTGTTAAATATGCCGATTGGCCAAGTCCTCACCGAAGACACACCCAACAAGAGCATATGTTCCTACCAACAATGACCATCAATAATTGTAAATCCTTTTGCAATTTATTAGGTCGTTCCGAAAGTAATGTCGCTTTTTTTCGAATGAACGCCACTATTCGTGGAATCAAAATCTTTAAGAGATCTTAGGAGCATTTCATCCTCTTTCTAACGGTTCTAATTTCGCTGCATAATGTTCAATGAGCTCTCGAAAAATTACTAAAATCTGCGACTCATGCTTTTTCCCATGGTCAAGTTCGGCTATTTTTCTAAATTTTTGTACCTAATCTCCGAAAAAGTACAAGTGGCAGGTAGATAGAGCAAACCCTATAGAATACAGACAATTTTTTCCTATTCCTTAGCTTGCTTCTTATACTTTCTAGAACCAATTTTTCGATGCCATCAAATTCCATATTTAGTTGGGTCAAACCTCACAGAACAACAACCGGCAAGCGACTCGGGTGCCATTCGATGCAGCTTTTTCTCCTCTTTCTAGAGGTCGTTTTGTTTCCGATTCATCAAGTTTTCTGGGATAAAACCATCATAATTCAACTTTTTCAAGGCACCCCAAGGTGTACCCGAAATTTTCGAAAGTGGCTAAACCGAAGCGGTTAATGCTTGTTTGGTTTGTAAAATTGTTGCCAAACCCTAAAAATCCGGAGACTTGTTGGCGTTTGATGCACTTGTGTCTAAGACGAACCTGCTAAAATTCGGTGGTTCCATCGAAATCTATATGAAAATTATGACGAGCTCTGGAAAGTAGGAAAAAGCTGTCCTGTTTCCTGTAGGGTTTGCTCCATCCATGCATTAATGGACTCCTTTTGAGGTTTGTTATAAAATTTTAGAAAAATTGTGAAACTTGGCCATCTCAAAAAGCATACGTCGCAGATTTTGAATCTTCTCTGGAAGGTCATTGACTGTATTACAACAGCTTCATAACCATTAGAAAGAGAATGAAATGCTGCATCAAATGCTACAAAAATCTCTTACACATCTTTGTTCTACGAGATGTGGCATACGTTTGAAAAAAGCGACATTACTTTCGGAACGACCTAATATATGGCCCTACAATTTAGCTGTATTTCAGTTTGTGGTTTTTCTTATAATTTTATGGACGGCTACGAGAAAAAAGGGATCGTATCTGATTTATCTAGATGTCTTTGGAGTTATGAAAGCTTGATCGCTGCAATTTTGCTCTATCACGGCGGTCTTCCTACATTATATCCTGAAAACTTCGAGCAGCAGTCAACGGTGAGTTACATAATTTCTTGGAATCCCAGTTTTTGGTTTTCAGGATCGCATCTAGATTTGCTGATCGCAGCTAGAATTTTTTCGAGCTCGCTGCTCCCAAAACCCTGCTACTTTTTTTCTGTACAAGCTCTGCCACACAACCGGTTTTTTGCAGGTTTTCAGCCCGTTTAGTTAAGAATTCTCAAAATACCTTGCTCATGCACGTTTTTGACATCCTGGCTAGTATGGCTTTGTATGCAGAAAAATCTGTACAAAGATCACAGACATAAGGTTAATAATCAAGCACCACTTTAGGCCTCCGAAGACGACGAGTAGTCGAAGAGCGTTAGGCCACTGATGTAATAAATAGCTTCGCCCAAACCTCGTGCTGGCTACACTATACTGACACAATCTGAATTATGCCGAGGTTTCAACAAGAGAGGACGAAAAACTTACTAACAATGTACCGCCACATTTAGTCTCTCTTGCGGGAAGCATTATCGCTCCGCCAGAAAATAGTTGCGACTCGTCAAATTCTCGTCATTATTATTTATCGTCACTTGAAATTTCTGAAGCAATGTAAGGCCGTCGACATGGTGCCGCGGTTCATTTCAAATAAGAAGCTGAAAACAGTATGCAACCCTCCCGAAGAACATTCGAAAGTCGAGAAGATCTACCGCATCATTCTGGGAACTGTGATAAAAGAAAAACAACATATGCTGTTCTCCTGCATTTTAAAATGTAACACTAAAGAACAGACCTGTCAACGGCTTCTCTCGGACTTAAAAGAGGTTTGAGAAAGGATCGAGATTGATTTGTGATTCTCTTCGATCTAACGCCAAGTCTTTCCTTTGCGCAAAGTACGACAAACTCCTGAGCGCTACTAAAATCAGAGGACTGGTGAGAGCAGCGTACCCGAGCAAAACCGCAACGTAAGTGACATAGCTCAAAATGAATGTCTTGATTGCGCTGCAAGAGTCACCGTAATCGGCAACACTCAGATTTCCGACAATGCGCGTAAATTATTGAGTTTGGGCAATTCATTTTCCATTGCTCAGAACGTCAGTGAGAGCGTAAAGTCATCACTGGTCTTTACAGAGTACGAGATCAATTGAGAATAAGGGTCAACAATAGCGAAAAACGAGATTCAAACGCACAAGAATTACGAGCTGAGCATCCACTGGCATCCATCCATCCATTTGGCTAGTGGCTGTCAGTGTTGATGGTAACAAAGTTGTTGCACGTCCCGACATGTCGGCCATGTGCCGCGCATCAGAAAGCGACAAATTTGAGGGATTGCAACTTTGCAGACACATCCGCGCCGTCTTTGCTATCCACTTTTTGGTCCATTTGTTTAAAGGGATATTGCGTAGGTTCATCGAAGTTAACAGGAATCACGCCAGGTACTCTTTCACGCTTTTTAGCCTGATTTCACTGTTACAAGGCGCTCCTTTTTCGTTTTTTTTCGAACCAAGACGCTTACCCGTTCTGTTGTGTCTCAACAGTATTAGTGTCGCGTAAATCCTTTAAACGTTTGGTCCGTCGATTTCAGAAAAAACGTGCAGTTTGTACCCGCAAAATTGTGGTACTGTTTATTCTACTATTTTGAACTTGGCGATGGTTCTGATTTCTGTATCCAGTCCGTGTCCACTTCCCTGCTAGATTGCCAAAGTGTTCAGAGCATTCTATCTTAAAGGTAACTTGCGAGAACATTCGGAGTTCGGTACAACAACACTGTTGATTTACTACGACCGCTTATTAAGAGCCCATTCAGTGACTACTGCGATCTAAACAAGAGTGCGAAAGGAAACGCTTCTTTCGAAGGGACTCAACGGAACAAGCTTTGTGAGTTTCTTCGCGATTTTTGACCTAAACCGCTATAATTGACTTATGCGTCTACTCCACATCTTTATACGGAGATTCTTTGTGCATTTTGCGGCATGATATGCTGGGACTCGATCGTAGCCCGTATTTTGTTGAGTCTATTTTGGAAGACAATATATCATCTAGGTTCTTAGATATTGTAATTCTGAAAATCAAGAATTTGGTTGCTACGCAGATATTTGCTTGCTATTTAAGGTGTTTACCTCACATGTAGTTCGTCTCAAATTATCCAAACGCTTTTTCGGTTACCTGGGTTTCAAACTGAAGTCCAAATTTGTTCATTTCTCCTGTCACATCTGTCTTGCAAAGCATAGAATTGTTCCTTTTTTAAGTTTTCTCCCTTTAATGTGAAGTAGTTCTTCTAAAACCGTGCACGATAAGAATGAGGGCATATAGGCAGATAGAAGGACGAAGTTGGACCAGATTTGTCCTGTCTGGATTTTGTTTTTATGTGTAGAGAATTCTGTTTCGGCCCCTACTGAGATGTCTGATAAATTAATTTTTCAATTGAAAAAGTTCCTTCTTGTTTTTCCTTTTTCTTTCTTCCTTATACTGATACCGCAGCTATGTTATATGTACCTTATTTTGCCCGCCGCTCAAACAAATCCATAGCGTCAGAATCACTTTCTCGTTTTGTTTTGTTAGTTTTGACTACTTTAGATTATTTTACATGGCGTTATTGCATCTTGCTATTCTATTTGAGAGTGCCCTTTTTTGAATCTTGATTCAGATAAGACTGTGCCCGTACTTCACTTGTTCATTCTCGTTTAAGCTGTATTTTTTAGAGCTAATTGTAAGGTGTTTTTGCAGACATTTTGATGATTAATAAAATAGATTGTGTCCATTAAATGTTCTAGGTAAAATTCTTGGCTGAGTTAATTAACCGCTGGTTTATTTGGTCAGGTAGTCAAAAGCCATCAGCTAATTTTAGTTTGTAACAAGCAAATTTATAAATCTTGACAAAGCTTCAAAACTTACAGCATTGGTATTCTGTGCAAGAAACGTTTGATGCTCTATGCGTTTTGTTCATTCGGTATACTCAGCACGCTCTTCTAGCCGCATGCAGTTGAATCATGAAATTCATGAGCCATCCATCAGAGAAAATCGCTGACTGCATTTGCAGCGTTCAACGTGGAGGTATTGTTGTCTTGTACATTGACAAGAATAGACAAAGTTCAACAGAGAACACGAACACTAATTCCGTTATCTTGCAGAAGTAGCTCTGTACTGTTGACTCAAAACACGGGAAATTATTTCAGAGAGCGGCCCCTTCTTGACTAGCATGCTTTCCATCTTTAAGGTCATATACTTGATACGTAATTTTGCCTGCTCTATCTTAATACTCATGAGAGCGCTCTTAACTTCTAATATCTTAGTGGCCAATTTTTTGTACAACACTTCATTTTTTGACTGCTTTTCGAGGACGGCGCATTTCAAATTTTAAAATCTTCCTCCTTTTCTTTTGGCAGTTTAGAGCGGAAGGGTAAGGTTATTGTGGAGGCTGCATGATAGTTATTTGGTTTTGCATGTTCTAGCTTTCTTTAAAAGGAGCAAATTTTCTTTTTCCATATCCTTCGAGTTTTTAAATCTTTTGAAACCTCGTTCGTGTGTACTGCCGCCTCAGCACCAGTGTCGAAATGCAATAAATGAGGCTGTGAGTGAACTTTTGGAAAGTTTGTCAGGCAGACCACTATTTTACCTCCTCAGCGATAGTCATTTCCCTAAACGGCAAGGGCTTATAGGCACTCTCACTGGGAGCCTAGAAATCCTATTGATAGACCATAGCGAATCATTACGTAAGAGGCCTGACTGCTCACCATTGATATCTCAGTCGCTGCATAATTGACCTCAATCGGAGTTTTTGAGCCGCGCAGTCTCGGCTTATCACATCCATCAGTAACGATTTTGACATAGTGCGCGATGAACATTGGCTTTTCCTCAACCCCACCGGTCTTGTTCAGTTCTGCGTTCTGAAAAAGGAACACTGTTTTTCATTTGTAGTAGTTTATAATAAATTACCTCAAAGCTAGTTACTTTTTTCGCGCCTTTGATAATATCTTTGATTTGTTGGTTAATTTGTTCCGTAGTACGTTTGCGACCCAATTTTTGATGAGATCTTCGACAACGTCCTCGAGTAATTTCTGTTTACGCTAAAATCAAATGGGGACATAACATGATTTACAAAAATTAGATAGATTAGCAAGGTACACGCCATGTGATAGCAACAGAGCCGCGTAGTGCTGCGGCAACGACACGGGCGCAAACTATTGTCTTGCTTAGGAATCATGAATTCAAAATTTACGGTTTTTGCAGTGCACGAATCTGCCGTCGCTAGATACATTGTACAATGCATTTAACGGGGACAGCGCCACGAGTCCACTTGCGCGCGAGGACTACTGTGTGCTGCCGCTGCAATCCGCTGCTACTTTAGAATGACATTGTGGAGTTACCCGGAATGCGTGATATCCACTCATTTGTCGGTATTGAACAAAACTATAAGAGGACACAAAAAATTGAACACAAAACCAGCTGGAGGAAAGTGACTTTACGCAGGAAACTTATGTTCTTTTTTAATACAAGACATTCCTTTGACCAGCACGTTATGCATTAACTTTTGCGCCTCATTTGTGAATAAATACCTCGTTAGCAAATGAACGACACTAGTGCTGATAAAATCGACTTTACGTCAGTTCTCGTTAACAGATTATTCACCCGTTGTTTGCTACTTCTTTGACTGAAGGAGGAGCAAACAACGGGTGAATAATTTGTAACAAGAATACAAAAACATTATTAGGAGATTGTATCTCTATTCAAAGGAATAACTGGCTAAAAGTCACGGATTCTTCCAGATTGGGGTCAACAGCTGCAGCCGGCTTTTCTTGAGTGTTCGTTTGACTTCTTTTTGAATCGAGATGTTGTCGATTTGTGAAGTTGGTGAACACACTTTCAAGGTGTGGATAAGTTTTTCAAAAAACCGGAATTGTTCTTGAAGAACATCCCTCTCAGTGACGCGTGTGTTTCGTGGCCTGCGGCCGTCCTCGTTATCAAACTTGAAATCCTCCCAGATAGGAAGGAGTAGCAGAATGGAGCTTTGCACCCACTATGTCCGGCTTCACAAAGTGTGCGTCGTCGTCCTCTATAACCTCTTCTTCAAAACGTGCTAATTTTTTATGCAATACATGAGCACTGCGGGTCTCATACCTGACCAAGTGACAGATCTGTTTGGAGGAACATTGCCCGCTACCATGATAATCTTCGTAGTGGTGAAAGTACCATTCACTAACAAGACACAGCTTAGAGCTGATCATGGGTGTGACGCGCGGACCTCTTACCAATAAAGTATTATAATTTATTAACACATAACATAAGTTCATACCTTACTTTGCTTCTCGTTATCCATCGCGGAAAGGATACCCTTTGAATGAAGACACTCTGCGGAAAAAAATCGTAGAAAGAAATGCATATTTTGAGCACATACAAAGCAAGGAAAAAACTATCAGCCCGATTAGATGAGTGGCTACGCTGGCATTCCCTGCTGACCGAGGGCGCATCAAGCCTTGCGCGTAGCGACCCGCGTAAGGCCTGTTGCAATAAACGACTAAATATAATGGAGATAAACCTAAAAAACCCACTTACTTCGTCGCTGAATACCATTTGCAAATGGTTCTTTCGTTTGCGCGTTGGTGGTGTCCTTAGAACATTCTCGGAAGTGACATCGCTGAAATTTAGATAGGAAGTTTGAGATGACTATAAACGAGAGCAATTGAGAATTGAGAGCATACTAATCGAGATTGAGCTTATATGGCATATGGCCATGCAAAGCCATTTCGCAACATGTCTGTTATTGATCGATGGGCGACTTCTAGTGCCGGATAGGCTGCTAGCGTTCATTTAACTTGCGTTTACGCCACTTTTCTTGAGTACTATTTTACATTGCATTCTTCTGCTCTCATACGTTTTCAAATTCAATTTTATCTATGCTACCTTGTTACATTTTCATCCGTAGACTATCGGAATATTGGAACGGTTTTTTGATGAAAGCGCCTATAAAAAAAGTGTTGTCCTTTTCAAAATTGATTCACTGGCCAGCATAACATAAAAATTGATACCTGTGAAAAAGCGGTAAACCGATAGGGGCCTAGTTAATAACTGCATTCAGTTCTGCATGCAAAAAAGTATGTACAAAAATACTCGGTTCATGCTCGATTTTTAAAAATGACGCAGTCTTTTCCACCGCCGTCACCCCAACTCTTTCGTATCTGTTTCATTTGTGTGACTTTTTCTCCGAATCCAAGTTTCACACATGCATACACAAATTCTAGTTTTCTCTACGTATTACCTATCTTGTATCGAGTACCGAGAGTCGTTGACTACACGGATTGGCCGTAGGTTGCAGAGCACGCGTCGCAGTCTTCATCACTGGTAGAGTGGACATAACTGTACAATCCCGCTCTCATAACACATCAGCCGCTCCGCGGGTACCCCACAACATACGGACAGTTCGTGCGTTGTCGACGCGACGATGCCATTCGTAAAGCCACTCAGCTTCTCACAAAATGAAATAACTAGAGATAACATAGCGCGCGACATTTTCTTAGGTTAGCATTGGCTCTAAGTACTGATGGCCGCATAGCGTTATCGGTTACGCATTGTTTCGCTTTATTCTCATACCCTTTCATAGTTCATAATAAACAGAGGATCCAGGGTAAGATTTAGATGTTATGGCTGAGGTATATCGTAAGCTTACCGTACTCTGCTTTCAGAAAGATGTTTCTTGGCGGTTACAGCTGGCAAACAACGGCTAGTGAATTTATACAAAGATTTGGAGTAGATAATTGGAGCCGCCCTCTTTTGCTGGTCTTGGGCTCGCTCTTCTGGGCCTACTGCTGCCGCTGCTATTGCTAAAGACCATTGTTGTTGTTGGAGAAGGGCCTGATGGGAATGCGAGCTGAAAGGGAGAGGCGGGATTGTGAATCGGTTGGAAGTAATTGAGAAAGCAATGGAGCTCTTTGTGACACAACTTATTCCGAGGTTATTAGAAGTGCACTGAAGCTAGTGAGAATAAAATTTTTTTGCAATTCTGAGGCAGGCGGTTTACTCCTCGAGGATTATAGCACCCCATCAATCGATATGCATCAAATGTGTAAAACCGGCGATTTTTTTTACCGATCTTGGCGATCGCCAGTCGTCAGTCGATACGTATCTAATGTGTAGTCGCCAAAACTGGCGATCGCCAGTCGCTATAGGGCCGGGCATACTTTACGCGATTTCAGTAGCGACGCGATTTGGCAATTCGCCAGAAGTCTTCAGATCCAATACTAACAAAGTGCACATGCATAGTCTGTATTCTATATGACTTACTTGGATTGATGAAGTGCCCTTCCTTCTGTACATTTAAAATGTGCTTACAATGAGTTATAGACAATTGGAATATTGCCAAATCGCGTCGCGACTGAAATCGCGTGAAGTATATTCGCCCCTTATGACTGGCGGCTGCCACTCCCCAATGTTGGCGACCCACGTTGGATGTTTTTTTGACTAAACGTGTGGTAACTTGTTGGCGATCGATATGCATAGTACGCACAGTCGCCAATATTGACTATCGCCAGACTTGGCGACTACACTTTGAATTATACCTTTGATAGTCTAGAGACAGGGCGTCAAAAGTGAAGTTTGTTTGAACATCTTACGTTATAAATAGTGAAGATTGTTTGAAGAAGGTCAGTGAACAGAATATGACGTAAAATAGGTATGAAGAGCAAAAGAAACTGTCGAAAACCGGATAAATGCTGCAGAGAGGTCTGAAATCTTTCATTTGGCGGCTTTTCAAAGTGCAAGTTTTCGCTCTAGGACCAGCAATTCGCAGCACGGGACTTTGATTTTTGATGCGTCCTTTGAATTTTTACCCCCGCATTGACGTTCCTGTTTCCTGGGACGTTATCTGGATTGTTGCGCTTACTGATCTGAGCAATAATCGCCCAAGCTGGAAAAAAACGGTGCGAAAGCGCTGAAACAGAACAAGGTAAAGAAAAACGCACTTTTTACAATTTTTCGCAAAAAATTCCACCACAATCGAAGAATTAAGGGCTGGGTGGTTGTCAGCATTATGAGCAGAAGCAATTTCTATAGAATACACGAAAAAACCGCGTGAAAGTGGTTAAACTAGGAGAAAAACAAGAGATTTTCGAAAACAAGGTTTTTTCCGAGTTTCTCTATCAAATCAAAAAATGTGGTTCTGGGACGTTGTCAGCGTGAAAATAGAGTTCAGGAGCTTCAAAATGATACATAGCTTGCTAAAATTGGGTTCGAAATAGCGAAGAAAAGGGTACCAGAGCCAAATGCCCCGCGCCCCGCGTTTGGGGTAGGCAAGGTAGCGCGCAGCGCGCGGAGACGCAGACGAGCAGCGGAGACAGATCAGAGCCGACTCATTTGGCTCTGGTAGTAGAACTCCGCGGGGTCTCAACGAAACCCTGCAACATTATATATCATTCTGATCATCATGACACGACGAGGAGAACTGACAACGTCCCAAGATTTGAAAATCACTCATTAACGAGATAGACCAGCGTTTTCGTGCGCGATCCTCTGCGCAAGATTTAAGCGCAATTTCTCGTTTTTATATAACTCCAACGACTTTCCTAAACTTCTAAAACTCGATTTTGGTCAGATAAGAGATTAAACTGAGAATTGTACTAAATTTTGCCGAAAATCTCATAGAAATCATCTTTTCAACCTAAAAAAGGCTACAAAAACGCAAATTCTCGTTTTCGCTGAGATATCCTAGATATTATTCCCTACATTTGCTTCATTAACGGGTGAAGGTTGTGTCTTTTTATAGCCCTCAAATGAAGGTTACCAGAGTACGTGGCTCTATGAATCGAGGATATGCTTTGAATAGAATCGATTGAAAGTGTGAACTCATGAGAGCGATCGATAGCTATCTAATGTGCAGTCGCCAACCTCAGCGACTGACGATCGCTCGTCGCCATGCTATACTCCTCGAGGAGTAAGCGCCTGCTTCACATTTCGTTCTTATCTGTACGGTGCAGCGCCCGCTGCGTGGCACATTTGAGCTAGCCAGGGAAGTTTACCCAGTGATTACCGTTTTCAGACATCACCCACACCGCCAAGACTTCCCCAGCGATTCGAAGTCAATTCAGACTTTATATTTGACCAAGATCTACACCTAATTTCCATCCTCTTCTGCACGAATACTCTGAACGCACCTTCGTAGATTTCTTTCTCGAATTGAAACGACCGTTCGTGGCACTTGCGAAGGAAAAATTTGTGCAGATTTCACAATATTTTACACCGAGTGCCCGTTATGTACTCCATTTCCTTGTGAAATGCTGTTTTTCAGCGTTCTCGTGTTCTCTCAGCGATTTCCTCAACCACTCACTGGATGTGGAAAGAATCTCCAAAAGAGACCATCGGCAGAATTCGCAGTAAGAACCGTCAAGGTAAGGCTGGAGTCTCAACGCATTTCTTCATGGGCCGATTCTTGCAAAATGTTGCATGTTTTTTCGAGGAGAGCAGAGCAACTTTGAGGATAATTCGAACTACAGGGACCTTATGCATGAATGCCTCAGTTTGCTGAAGATTTTCTTCACTTCAAGAGCCAGTCACAATCGGCGCCCTTCTTGTTGCTACATCAGCATACTGGCCTATTACTGAAGAGCAAAGTGCAGATAGCGCAAGGTTTACAGAAAGTACCAAACCAAATATTAGCGGAGTAATAGATGCAACACATGCAAGGATTACCGCTCCCAAGCAAATTCCAATGGACTACATCAACAGAAAGCACACTCAATGAACGTTGGCGCAAATAGCTATGATCAAATTTTTTTATGTTGATGGATTAGCGCGACTGGCCAGGGTCATCTTTATACAGTAGAGTATTTATTTCGTCGCAATTGTACAAGAATTTGTAGTCAGAAAAAAAGGGCTGTCCCATCGGCGATTCAGCCTATAAGAATCCAGCAAAAACAAGAGGATGTAGTATTGTTCTTACTTGAATATTGAATTATCACATTGTTTTAGAACAGAAATACAACCAACCGATCTGCGGCGGAGGGCAAAAATTGAACAAGCTTTTGGGATATGAAAGGGCAGTAGCTCATACATGGCGAAAGCCGGAAGGAGCATTTTACAAGTTTCCATACTATCGTTGCGCGTTTCAGGTACGATCCAGAGACATCGACAAAAATGTACCTTGCGCAATCCTTCGCAATGTTGCGAATATGCGAGACGAACCGACAGATTTTGAAACTTTGCCTGAAACAGATGAACACGACGTGCATGAGGATATCGAAGAAGACCCTCTGCCTTTGGATTGCACTTATTAAATGAATGATTGATGAATTTTTTGCCCTTTTTTTGATTGATCCTTCTAGCTGAGTTTATGGTCTGAGTTTTGATCCTTTTTCTAATCTTCTGAGGCTCTTTTGTGTTACTGGTGGTCACCTTTACTTTTTGTAAAAACGAAAACTATTTACTATGATAGCTTAAAAGAAAACGTCAGTCCATTGGCTTCTATTGCAACGGATAAGAACCTATTAAGAAATTGTGCAGGGCCGGGCATACATCCCGGGATTTCAATCGCCTCGCGATTTTCACGACAAGACAACTGCTACCAGCTCATCGCATGCTCATCATGCATTTCGGTTGTGGGAGTTTCCCGACAAGATCATTCACGAACGTCTATCACAATCGAAATGCAGGATGATCGGCGTGCAATGGACTCGTAACAGTCGTCTTGTTGGGAGAATCTCGAGGCGATGAAATCGCTTGATCTATGCTCGGCCATTGATTTTGAAGGAGAAAGCGAAACTGATTGTTAAATTCCCCATAACTGTCATAGTATATCTGATGGTAACTACACTGATCATAGAGAAACTCTGGTCTATCTGCTACTTATGCTATCTACACATTTCTCTGCACAACGCTTTGCAATCTTCCCGTGACAAATTTGCGGTATTTGCTCGGTTTAAAATATAATGTTGTGGTTTTTTACCATTCATCTTTAAGAAACCTTTATCTGAATTTTGACCGATGTAACGAAAGGTGAAAAAAAAAACATTTTTTGGGGTTGCGGTCAGCCATAAGTAAATCGCGTAGTGCCGGGTGCTACCGGAGTGCATCGTTGTATCCACTCTGATTCTACCACCATACACTATCGTCGTTCCCCGGATAGATGAGACGTGTCACTGCACAAGTCCATAAGTGTCCGTATTTGTGCGGTATTAGTTACGGCGCAGAATCGAAATCGCTGAACAGCTGGTCATTTCCCGCTCAACAGTGATAGGTGAGTTTTTTCGCAACTAATCGTGCTTTTCTCTTGAGATTTCGACGGATTTGCTAGAAGTGATTCGCAAATCTTCAATTACACTTGTTTTATGTTAGTTTCTTGCTTTTGAACCATTGCCGGTGCGAATTTTGCATTATATTAGGTTGGAAACTAAGTTTTGCAACTGGTTTCATAACTTCCCTCTCACTCAACATGGCGCACTCAAATTTTGCCACTGCGTTGGTTATTACGTAAGCTACAAGCGCAGTGCTGTTCTACCAAATTCTGACGTCGCAGTGAGGGTTACGGTAGGGGCATGGTACGAAGGGGAAAAATTCAAAGTCTGACGGATTTGGCTGAAACTTGGCTTAGGGGTGTTATCCGACATGCTGATCACGAAAACGATAGTGAAATTGCGTGATAAGGGCTTTTTTGTAGGATTACTGCAGATGTACGATATGGAGTCTCCCTAAACAAGGAAAAAGGCATTGATTTAACAAATGAGTGTGATATTCGCGTTTGGCAGGTCAAATAACCTTACTATGTAAAGTCTCGGCGGAATTTGAGCTTCGGACTCTTTAGTCATTGGCGGTCGTCTCCAGCAGCTCTTGCGTACATCGACTCGCTCGAATTTATGAGGACGCCAAATCTCGACATGCCCCTAAATTTTGTTTCTTTCTTACTAGACCAAAGGAGTCAACCTCCAGCAATAACCTGTAGACGAATCCGGATTGCTGCGCATGGGCTAGGCTGCCAAAGGCTTCATTTTAGCTTGAAACCCCAAAAATTCTCAAATTTCACTAGTTTTCGAAAAACGCCTGAAACTTTTCTATTTCGTGTTCAGAATTTAGACAATTTGTGCTTCTTGTAGCTCACATTGCCTTCTACATAATGCCAAAGTTTGAGTGCGCGATATCCAAAGCGAGTGAAGTTATGAAACCAGATGCAAAATTTAGTTTCCAGCCTAATAGCTGTACATGGGTGCTCTCACTTCTTCTTTTTTACTTAATAGTCGTGTTTATTGGATTTGCTTCAATTGTTTCATCGAATGACTTCACTATGCTTACCGTTTCTTCGTGGTTATGTTGTTTTGTACAGTTAAAGATATGAAGGTGAATCCCACTGTTGAAATTTACAGTTTTCTGCAATTTCAACAAGGTTGATGAAATAGTAAAAGCAAATCCAATAAACGCAATTATTAAGTAAAAAAGAAAAAGTGATTGCACGCAATGTACAGCTATAATGCAAAATTCGCACCGGCAGTGATTCGAAAGTGAGAAACTAACATTAATTAAAGATTTACGACTCGCTTTTAGCAACTCCCTTCGAAATCTGAAAAGAAAAGCACGATCAGTTGCAAAAAACTCACCTATCATTGTTGAGTCGGAAAATGATCAGCTGTTCGGCGATATCGATTCTGCGCCGTAGCTAATACCGTACCAATTACGGGCACTTACGGACTTGTGCAGTGGCACGCCCCATCTAGCTCGGGAAGACGACGATACTGTTGCAGGGAATCCTGACAAAGCCATTCAAGGAAATATGCTGAATAACGCGATCCTTCGGTGGCGAGAAAAGAAAGGTCGATTTGACCTCTCAACAGAGTATAAATACCGGTGGACAGGGGGGACTAGCGAGAGCGCTAAGTGAGCGCTAGCGGGAGTTGCAAAGAGCCGTCGAAGAGAGGAGGACCTTCCCCCTTAGATAGGGAAAAGCTAGATAGCCCTGCTGAGAGGGCCAAATCGGGTAGGAGTCTGTTGTTGTACATAACCATACCCGTTGTTAGAGTTCTTGTTGTTGTTATTTTGTGCCATAAGGATAAATTCTTGCACTCAAACTTGTGTATCTCCATCGATCAGGTTCTACCGGGACTTACCACTACACCACCCCCCGTTACAAATATATCATCGGACAAAAAGCCCACTAAAGCTCTTATGACAGGAATATCCAAACCAGCGTATGCAAGGCGCATGTAGTTGAATCGGTTTTGTTTTAAAAATGCTGCTTTTCCTAACCTTCTCGCGCATAACCCTTTCAGTAATGTGCCACCAACTGTGACAGTTGTATAAGAACTCGGTTTTCTCCCTAATAACTCACTGCATGTGAAGGAAATCTTTAGAGAACGCGCTAACAAATGTATCAATCGCAGACTCAAGAACGTTGATGGTGGGGCTGGAGTTTCTATGCATTTTTCTATTTCTTGTTTTTTATGTAGCGGTTTTCGCAAAACGGTTTTTGAGGAGAGGCAATCGACTTCAGCGATGATCTGGAATGTAAGGGCAACAAAATGTTGGATATTGCATGCATGCCTAATTTTTACTGAAGACCAGTGCGGTTCATAATTATACGAACACCCCAAATTTTGAAAGTTTTTGGACTTTTTGGAAGAAATTCAAAAAGCCGTTGGTACCGCGCGACAGAACACAGCCGAAAACAGTATATGATCCTTGAGAATGGAAATCGGTGCCAATTTTAGGAGTACTTTTGTGCCTAATGCGAATTTTTGGCGGTTCATAATTATACGAACACTTTAAACAAACGTCCATTTTTCATTCAAGATTGCAATCTTTCGAGTTCAAATTTTTTGTAGAGTTACAGTAACGAAATCTGACATATCTGCTACATACTGAACCCAATGCAGCTTAAAAAGGGGATCGTTACTTTTTCCAGATGGCTCTAAATGCTTTTGGAGTTATTGCGCTCCAAAAGCATTTAGAGCCATCTGGAAAAAGTAACGATCCCCTTTTTAAGCTGCATTGGGTTCAGTGTGTAGCAGATATGTCAGACTTCGCTACTATAACTCTACAAAAAATTTGGACTTGAAAGATTGCAATCTTGAATGAAAAATGGACGTTTGTTTGAAGTGTTCGTATAATTATGAACCGCTAAAAATTCGCATTAGGTGCAAAAACACTCCTAAGATTGACATCGATTTCCATTCTTAAGGATCATATACTGTTTTCGGCTGTGTTCTATCGCGTGGTGCCAACGGCTTTTTGAGTTTCTTCCAAGTCAAAAAACTTTCAAATTTTGGGGTGCTCGTATAATTATGAACCGCACTTATTTTGCGATTACTTGCAGCCAGTCACAATCAATACATGCTATCCTCTTCTTGCCACATTAGCAGGTCAGTCTTATCTACTTCGTCATATCTTTGTGCTTTGCTTACGGTCATCTCCGCTTTTTGTCACATTCAATCTATCGTGCTATGTATGGCTTTTCAAGAAACAAAAACTTTTATTGGGTCAAAGAAGGGTCGTCGAGAAATAGAAACTAATAATCAGTAAGGCCAGCGATAATGTCATAGTATATTTAATTGTGACACTTATCACAGGAAACTTCTGGTTAACATTTCACTTTGCCCAGCAAAAGGCTTTGCAATCTCCCTATGACAGATTGAGAGCTTCGCTATGCTGTAAAATACATCTGTTGAAGCTTTTTCATCACTCACCATATCTTTGACGTAACATTTATCTGTATCTTAACATTTGAAGATGCGATGAAAGGTGAGAAGACGCAGGTTGTGAAGATTTTGTAGCATTGCTTCCTCGACCTAATTATCTTCTTTAAAGAGTGTGACAATTTGACCAAGGTAATGTTGTATTCCTGAACGCCTATTTACTAAACAAAGGGCTTTTTTGAGATTGCGACCAATTTCGAATCGCAGAACTTTTGAAGGACTGAAGGAATGCTAGCGGAAAGTGTTGCTGCAGCCGACTAGGACTTATCATCGCCTGAATGCACCAAGGGAAGATAATCGTCGGTTGAAAACCTCCTGCTTAGATCTGATGACAGAAATGATCTAATGATCTAATACTGCCTATCTGACAAGTTCTCAACTTTTGAACGAACTAAAGGCTTCACTGTTGACAGTCATGGTCTTTGTCTCCTGTGTGAGTGCATCTATTTGGCTATGAGGTGTACCTGTAGACGCATAAACTGCACCTTTATGAAACATCTGCTCTGTTTCTTCCACCTTATTCGATTTTTGCTCCGGATTTTGACTCAGGCGTATACCATGCATGGATATATATCTGCTCACAGATCAGTACACTATGA